GTCTGTTAGTGTAAAGCGCTTTGAGTGTCCCTGATGGATAGAAAGGCGCTATATAAGTACAGTCCATTTACCATTTACATCCACATCTAATCTCACCTGCTCCTCATACCCGTGACAGTCACCCTGTTATCCAATGTCTCTACCTCTTCTATTACAAGCTCACATAGAAATTATAATAACCCATGAAACATATGCATTTGAACCTCAAGCTTACTCGGATGTGTTTTAACATTAATACATGTAAACATAATAAAAATGAAATTACATAATACATATTAACTGCAAGTAGTCTTTTTTTAAACAAACAGCTAATGTCTGCACAATGCAGGGCAGGTTAAAGACGTAGCTTTGCAAGTCCAAAATAAACTAAAACAAATGTTTTCCTGTCCTCCAAGCAGCCGGTCGAGGCAGATGGTCTCCTGTCCTGAGCCTGGTTCTGCTGGAGGTTTCTTCCTGATTAGCAGGGAGTTTYTCCTCTCCACCGTTTGCTCAGGATGGGAGACTGTGATGAAGTGATTCAACACAATCTGCTGCTTTCTTMTTTACATTGTTCTTTTTATGTACCTGAGACAACGTATGTTGGGACTTGGAGATATATAAATAAAATGAATTGAATTGAATAGGTATCTATCAGTTATTAGTTAGCAAGTTGCTAATTCTGTTATGCTTTGACAGTTTTGTTACTCTTACTACTTTTACCTGGTGTTTTGGTATTTTAGCTAACATTTGCCACTTTTAGCTTTTAATTATCATCTTGCTTCAGAAAAGAGAACGTAAAGTCATTTGGAGCTCACGTTAAAGGTTTTTCTTGTCTGAGTGCAGATTTCTAACGCCTCCCCTCCCCTCCCAGGAGTATCTGGACCTGTGCGCCCCGACGGAACAGTATTCTCCCAGCTTCCCGGACACTCGGAGCTCCTGCTCCTCCGGCGACGACTCAGTGTTCTCCCACGACCCCTTACCGGACGAGCCCTGCCTCCCCAAGTACCAGCACATCAACGGGAACGTGAAAAGATGAGCCGGAGCCCCGCCTCCACGACCTCAGCSACCATGAACACGTAGCACAGACACCTTCTCTGAACCCCTCCCTCGGTCCGGCTCCAGGTGGACTAATGGACCCAGGCGGGACTCTACTCATCAACACATGTGAAGCCTTACAGGAGAGGACAGGAAGCTCACAGAAGCTATTTTCAACTAACTGAAAGGATTGACATTCTCTTGGGATGCTCCTCCTCCTCTTCCTCACCCATATAAACGCAGCTTTTGGTTGTCGACTTTTTACCCAGAAGTTCACCACCGTTGGTTTCTGTCTGCAGCGGCTACAGGACTATTTGCTCCTGGAGGAACGTATGGATCCATAGGAACTTAAAAAACTAGGAAGTAGACTGAGACAGACCCGACTAACAGAGCAGGAATGATTGAGAGGACAGAAAATAGACCTGGTTGTTTCTCTGGTTTCTACATTTATTCAAGAGAAACACTACAACATTATAATGTATAAAGCTGGTTATATTTGTAAATATATTCAAA